AACGAGTTGTCGTTAGGAGCCTCGTCTTACATTGACAGGACTGATCTGTGTACCACATGAGCACAGAGCCAGTCTGTGGGAGCCAGAATCATTATGGGTTGGTACGGGATCAAATACTTATTTTACTTACTGAACTACAACTCCATTTATATCATTTGTATCGTGTGTTTTTTCTGGATTTTTGGTTGATATTCTGTTTCTTTCATTTAAAATACACCTATGATAAAAATTATAGACCCTTAATTTCTGTGTAAGTGGGCAAATCTGCAAAATCTGTAGGAGAACAAATCATTATTTTCTCCACTTGTTACAATAGTATTGATGCGTCTATGAGAACAATCATGTGAACAACCTCTGGATACCTGGTTATATTCTCCCCCTTCCTGCCCAGATCTTCAGTCTTCTTTCTTTAGCCCACTGAAATCGTTCCCAGCCATGGAAGGGCTGCCTGGTATATTCCCTCCCCCTTCCCACCCAGACCTTCAGTTCCTTCCCACCCAGACCCCTCAAGGGGTTCCTTGAGCATTGAGCAATATCCGCCTCTCAGATAATTTCCCGCTGACACCATTGATATTTGTAGTTATCTATAAGGGGGTAATTATTCTCAATGACCACAAGTGTAAGGAACATTCTTCCCTCTGACCATCACACGGATGTATAATGAGCTGTAGGTACAGTCATTCTTAGCAGGGATTCCCCAAGACCAAAAAGTCATTTCAAGGGTTCCTCTTTGTTGAAAAGGTTGAGAAAGGCTGCATTAGATCCTATTCCTATGAACTATCAATTACTGAAGACTGCTCAGAGAGCGTGCAAATTAGCTTTAGTTGATAAAACTAAGCGACATATCGGCATGGATGTCACTCCACTTCCTCAAACTCAATCTTTCCAAAACTGAGCTCTTAGTATTCCCCCCCCAGCCCGTGTCCCCCCTGACTTCTCCATCAAGATCAATTACACAACCATCAGTCCCTCCCCTCATGCCAGGGTACTAGGTGTAATCCTAGACTCCCATCTGTCCTTTCACCCCCAAATCCAATCACTGTCCAAATCTTATAGACTTCACCTTCGCAACATCTCCAACCTCCGCAACATCTCCAACCTCCGCAACACCTCCAACCTTCACAACATCTCCAACCTCCGCAACATCTCCAACCTCCGCAACACCTCCAACCTCCGCAACACCTCCAACCTCCAAAACATCTCCAACCTCCAACACATCTCCAACCTCCGCAACACCTCCAACCTCCGCAACACCTCCAACCTCCAAAACATCTCCAACCTCCAACACACCTCCAACCTCCGCAACATCTCCAACCTCCACAACACCTCCAACCTCCACAACATCTCCAACCTCCGCAACACCTCCAACCTCCGCAACACCTCCAACCTCCACAACATCTCTAACCTCCGCAACACCTCCAACCTCTGCAACATCTCCAAGATACGCCCGTTCCTAACCTCGGAAACCACTAAGCAACTTATTCACTACCTTGTTATATCTCACCTTGACTATTGTAACTCCCTCCTCATTGGCCGACCTCATCGCAGGCTATCCCCTCTTCAGTCTATCATGAATGCTGCTGCCAGACTCATCCACCTTACTAACCGCTCTGTGTGGCCTCCACTCAGTGTCCTCCACCCCTCTCTGCCAATCCCTCCACTGGCTTCCCATTGCCCAATGGATAAAATTCTAAACATTAACAATAAAATATATAACTCCGCCCCAAATTACATCACCAATCTTGTCTCCAAATATCACCCAAACTGTCCTCTCCGCTCCTTCCATGACCTCCTGCTCTCTAGCTCCCTTGTCTCCTCCTCCCATGCTCATCTCCAGGACTTCTCCAGAGCTTCCCCCATCCTCTGGAACTCTCTACCCCAATTTATCAGACTGTCGCCTACTCTGCTCACTTTTAGGTGATCTCTGAAAACCAATCTCTTCAGGGAAGCCTATCCTGCCCTCAGCTAACAATGGAATCTTCTACTCTACCAACCAGTCCACCCCCCACAGTTACTACCTTTTGTACCACTAGCCCCTCCCTCCTAGATTGTAAGCTCCGAGGAGCAGCTCCTAACCCTCTTGTATTGAACTGTATTGTTGCTGTATTGTCTCCTGTTATATTGTAAAGTGCTGAGCACACTGTTGGCGCCATAAATCCTGTATAATAATTATAATAATATAATAATAATAATAATAAAACCGAAAAAGAGGCTTTTATATCAAGCACAAAGGATATTTGAATCGGGGGATAGGAATGGCCATCTTCTAGCCTTTCTGGCCAAACCAACATCTGTCCCTGTTACTATTTCTTGTATCTATGATGGTGCTGCCATCCTCCGTTCCTCACAGGAACAAATTCTGGATTCATTTGTCCAGAACACATTATACCCGGCCTGAGCTTTATGAATATGTGGATTCAATCCCGTTTCTCCCGACACAAAGATTGACCCTTGATGCACCAATTACTATAGAAGAGATTGAGATGGCTATAAAAACCTTTGCTAAACATAAAACCTCGCGGCCTGATGGGTTTCCAATAGAGTGGTATTTAGCGCACCGAGACTCCCTTCTCCCTAGGTTACTTTCTCTTTACAAATCCATCTTTGAGGCACGAGCACTTCCCTCTTCTCTCCGAGAAGCCCTGATAGTTCTGCTCCCCAAGCCTAATAAGGACCCTTTATATTGTGACTCCTAAAGACCAATATTGCTAATAAATACGGATCTGAAACTTCTTTCCAAAATATTAACACTATGAATAAATTCAGTGATTACTTCTCTAATTAGCTCAGATAAAACCGGCTTTATCCTTGGCCATCCTACACATATTAATATCCTAGATTGTAAGCTCCCAGGATCAGCCCCTCCCTCTTAGATTGTAAGCTGCCAGGATCAGCCCCTCCCTCTTAGATTGTAAACTGCCAGGATCAGCCCTTCCCTCTTAGATTGTAAGCTCCCAGGATCAGGGCCTCCCTCTTAGATTGTAAACTCCCAGGATCAGCCCCTCCCTCTTAGATTGTAAGCTCCCAGGATCAGGGCCTCCCTCTTAGATTGTAAGCTGCCAGGATCAGCCCCTCCCTCTTAGATTGTAAACTGCTAGGATCAGCCCCTCCCTCTTAGATTGTAAACTCCCAGGATCAGCCCCTCCCTCTTAGATTGTAAGCTGCCAGGATCAGCCCCTCCCTCTTAGATTGTAAACTGCCAGGATCAGCCCCTCCCTCTTAGATTGTAAGCTCCCAGGATCAGCCCCTCCCTCTTAGATTGTAAACTCCCAGGATCAGCCCCTCCCTCTTAGATTGTAAACTGCCAGGATCAGCCCCTCCCTCTTAGATTGTAAACTGCCAGGATCAGCCCCTTCCTCTTAGATTGTAAGCTCCCAGGATCAGGCCTTCCCTCTTAGATTGTAAACTCCCAGGATCAGCCCCTCCCTCTTAGATTGTAAACTCCCAGGATCAGACCTCCCTCTTAGATTGTAAACTCCCAGGATCAGCCCCTCCCTCTTAGATTGTAAACTGCCAGGATCAGCCCCTCCCTCTTAGATTGTAAACTGCCAGGATCAGCCCCTCCCTCTTAGATTGTAAGCTCCCAGGATCAGCCCCTCCTCTCCCTCTTGTATTGAACTGTATTGTTGCTGTATTGTCTCCCGTTATATTGTACAGCGCTGAGGACACTGTTGGCGCCATAAATCCTGTATAATAATAATAATAGGTTATTTACTCATCTTTAGGCTCAGGACACTCATGAAGTAGAGTGATAATGGTTCTTGACACACATAAACCTTTTTTATACCATTGAACGGCCTTATGTGCTTTATGTACTGGAAAGATTTGGTTTTGGAGATGCTTATCTCACCTGGGTTTGTATTTTATATGACCATCCAGAGGCTCGCCTCTATCAGTGGTACAATAATAAAAACAATTCTAAACAGGAGCCGCCTAGGAGTCGTTTCCCAAGAACAGCTCTAGGAGGCAGAACAATACAGTCTATAGGTCACTCAGAGAAACTCTGGGAACAGTAGAGTACAAGTGACTGCTTAGGGTTCCTTTGCAGCAACACCTCTCACAAAGGGGTAGAAGGTCCCTGACAGTCCAGGGGGCCGCTTGGAGGGTTCCTCAGATTTTTTCCACAGCAAATGGCATGAAGAGTCTCTGGCTTGGACACCTAAGTAAAATGGCTGTAGACGTAGGACCACCTCACTGGGAATCTCAGCGACCTGGAGGAGGTTGAAGTATTGTCCTCCGCAGTGACTGGGTCTCCTGCAGATGCTATTGTGCCCTAAACTGACTGCCTGCACACCGGATAAACTATGGTGGACCAGACACCTGGTGAAGGATCTCATGCCGTCTCCTCTGTCTCCTCTGTCATCTGTGTCTCCTCTGTCTCCTCTGTCATCTCTGTCTCCTCTGTCTCCTCTGTCATCTGTGTCTCCTCTGTCTCCTCTGTCATCTCTGTCTCCTCTGTCTCCTCTGTCATCTGTGTCTCCTCTGTCTCCTCTGTCATCTCTGTCTCCTCTGTCTCCTCTGTCATCTCTGTCTCCTCTGTCTCCTCTGTCATCTCTGTCTCCTCTGTCTCCTCTGTCATCTGTGTCTCCTCTGTCATCTGTGTCTCCTCTGTCTCCTCTGTCATCTGTGTCTCCTCTGTCTCCTCTGTCATCTGTGTCTCCTCTGTCATCTGTGTCTCCTCTGTCTCCTCTGTCATCTGTGTCTCCTCTGTCTCCTCTGTCATCTGTGTCTCCTCGGTCTCCTCTGTCATCTGTGTCTCCTCTGTCTCCTCTGTCATCTGTGTCTCCTCGGTCTCCTCTGTCATCTGTGTCTCCTCTGTCATCTGTGTCTCCTCTGTCTCCTCTGTCATCTGTGTCTCCTCTGTCTCCTCTGTCATCTGTGTCTCCTCTGTCTCCTCTGTCATCTGTGTCTCCTCTGTCTCCTCTGTCATCTGTGTCTCCTCTGTCTCCTCTGTCATCTGTGTCTCCTCTGTCTCCTCTGTCATCTGTGTCTCCTCTGTCTCCTCTGTCATCTGTGTCTCCTCTGTCATCTGTGTCTCCTCTGTCTCCTCTGTCATCTGTGTCTCCTCGGTCTCCTCTGTCATCTGTGTCTCCTCTGTCTCCTCTGTCATCTGTGTCTCCTCGGTCTCCTCTGTCATCTGTGTCTCCTCGGTCTCCTCTGTCTCAAGTGGGCTCTCTTAGGACCAGGGGCGGACTGACCATTTGGAAACTCGGGCACTGCCCGAGGGCCCGGGGTCAGTAGAGGGCCCCATGAGATGCCCCTGGTACCTTTTTCATAGGCTTTTTTGAGTTTGGGTAAGGACACAGGGGCCCCATGATCCCCTATTGCCCGGGGGCCCCATGAGTTGTCAGTCCGCCCCTGCTTAGGACTAATGAGGGCTGGAATTACACTTATACAGAGCATCCAGAAAGTATTCCCGGTATATACAGAGCATCCAGAAAGTATTCCCGGTATATGCAGAGCATCCAGAAAGTATTCCCGGTATATACAGCGCATCCAGAAAGTATTCCTGGTATATGCAGAGCATCCAGAAAGTATTCCCGGTATATACAGAGCATCCAGAAAGTATTTCCGGTATATGCAGAGCATCCAGAAAGTATTCCTGGTATATACAGAGCATCCAGAAAGTATTCCCGGTATATACTATGTATCCAGAAAGTATTCCCGGTATATACAGCGCATCCAGAAAGTATTCCCGGTATATGCAGAGCATCCAGAAAGTATTCCTGGTGTATACAGAGCATACAGAAAGTATTCCCGGTATATACTATGTATCCAGAAAGTATTCCCGGTATATACAGCGCATCCAGAAAGTATTCCCGGTATATGCAGAGCATCCAGAAAGTATTCCCGGTATATACAGCGCATCCAGAAAGTATTCCCGGTATATGCAGAGCATCCAGAAAGTATTCCCGGTATATACAGAGCATCCAGAAAGTATTCCCGGTGTATACAGAGCGTCCAGAAAGTATTCCCAGTATATACAATGTATCCAGAAAGTATTCCCGGTATATACAGCGCATCCAGAAAGTATTCCCCGGTATATACAGAGCATCCAGAAAGTATTCCCGGTATATACAAAGCATCCAGAAAGTATTCCCGGTATATACAGAGCATCCAGAAAGTATTCCTGGTGTATACAGAGCATCCAGAAAGTATTCCCGGTATATACAGAGCATCCAGAAAGTATTCCCGGTATATACAGAGCATCCAGAAAGTATTCCCGGTATATACAAAGTATCCAGAAAGTATTCCCGGTATATACAGCGCATCCAGAAAGTATTCCCGGTATATACAGAGCATCCAGAAAGTATTCCCGGTATATACAGAGCATCCAGAAAGCATTCCCGGTACATACAGAGCATCCAGAAAGTATTCCCGGTATATACAGTGCATCCAGAAAGTATTCCCGGTATATACAGAGCATCCAGAAAGTATTCCCGGTATATACAGAGCATCCAGAAAGTATTCCCGATATATACAGAGCATCCAGAAAGTATTCCCGGTATATACAGCGCATCCAGAAAGTATTCCCGGTATATACAGAGCATCCAGAAAGTATTCCCGGTATATACAGTGCATCCAGAAAGTATTCCCGGTATATACAGTGCATCCAGAAAGTATTCCCGGTATATACAGAGCATCCAGAAAGTATTCCCGGTATATACAGAGCATCCAGAAAGTATTCCCGGTATATACAGAGCATCCAGAAAGTATTCCCGGTATATACAGAGCATCCAGAAAGTATTCCCGGTATATACAGAGCATCCAGAAAGTATTCCCGGTATATACAGAGCATCCAGAAAGTATTCCCGGTATATACAGAGCATCCAGAAAGTATTCACGGTATATACAGAGCATCCAGAAAGTATTTCCGGTATATGCAGAGCATCCAGAAAGTATTCCCGGTATATACAGAGCATCCAGAAAGTATTCCCGGTATATACAGCGCATCCAGAAAGTATTCCCGGTATATACAGAGCATCCAGAAAGTATTCCCGGTATATACAGAACATCCAGAAAGTATTCCCGGTATATACAGAGCATCCAGAAAGTGTTCTCGGTATATACAGAGCATCCAGAAAGTGTTCCCGGTATATACAGAGCATCCAGAAAGTATTCCCGGTATATACAGAACATCCAGAAAGTATTCCCGGTATATACAAAGCATCCAGAAAGTATTCCCGGTATATACAGAGCATCCAGAAAGTGTTCCCGGTATATACAGTGCATCCAGAAAGTATTCCCGGTATATACAGAGCATCCAGGAATGTACATAAGTATTCCAAGCCCCCTCCCCCCATGTACATAAGTATTCCCGTATTCCCAGCCCCTCCCCTCATGTACATAAGTATTCCCAGCCCCCCCCTCATGTACATAAATATTCCCAGCCCCTCCCCTCATGTACATAAGTATTCCCAGCCCCCCCCCCCCTCATGTACATAAATATTCCCAGCCCCTCCCCTCATGTACATAAGTATTCCCAGCCCCCCCCCCCCTCATGTACATAAGTATTCCCGTATTCCCAGCCCCTCCCCTCATGTACATAAATATTCCCAGCCCCTCCCCTCATGTACATAATTATTCCCAGCCCCTCCCCTCATGTACATAAGTATTCCCAGCCCCCCCCCTCATGTACATAAGTATTCCCAGCCCCTCCCCTCATGTACATAAGTATTCCCAGCCCCCCCCCCTCATGTACATAAGTATTCCCAGCCCCCCCCCCCCCTCCCCTCATGTACATAAGTATTCCCAGCCCCTCCCCTCATGTACATAAGTATTCACAGCCCCCCCATGTACATAAGTATTCCCAGCCTTTGCTCAATCCTTTGTTGAAGCCCCTTTAGCCCCCATTCCAGCCTCCAGTCATTTGGAGTATGATGATACAAGCTCGGCACACCTATTTTGGGGCGATTTCTCCAGTTTTTCTTTGCAGTACCTCTCCAGCTCTATCAAGTTGGATGGGGGGCGTCAGTGCAGAGCCATTTTCAGATCTCTCCAGAGATGTTCAATTGGGATCAAGTCTGGGCTCTGGCTGGGCCACTCAAGGACATTCCCCGAGTCGGCCCGTAGCCACTCCTTTGGTATGTGGGCTGTGTGCTTAGGGTCGTTGTCCTGTTGGAAGATGAAAAGTCGCCCCAGTCTAAGGTCCAGAGCGCTCTGGAACAGGTTCTCATCAAGAATGTATCTGTACATTGCTGCATTCATCTTTCCTTCCATCCTGACTCGTCTCCCAGTCCCTGCCTCTGAAAAACATCCCCACAGCATGATGGTGCCACCACCATGCTTCACTGTAGGGATGGTATTGGCCAGGTGGTTAGTGGTTCCTGGTTTCCTCCAGACATGACGCTTGGCATTCAGGCTAAAGAGTTCAATCTTTGTTTCATCAGACCAGAGAGTTTTATTTCCCATAGTCTGAGAGTCCCTCAGGTTCCTTTTGGCAAACTCCAGGCGGGCTGCCATTTGCCTTTTACTGAGGAGTGGCTTCCGTCTGGCCATTCTACCATACAGGCCTGATTGGTGGAGTGCTGCAGAGATGGCTGTTCTTCTGGAAGGTTCTCCTCTCTCCACAGAGAAATGCTGGAGCTCTTTCAGAGTGACCATCGGGTGCTTGGTTACCTCCCTGGCTAGGGCCCTCCTCCCTCGAACGCTCATTTTGGCCCGGTGACCCGCTCTAGGAAGATTCCTGGAGGTTACAAAGTTCTTCCATTTATGGATGATGGAGGCCACTGTGCTCATTGGGACCTTAAATGCTGCAGCGATGTTTCTGTACCCTTCCCCAGATCTGTGCCTTGATACAATCCTGTCTCGGAGGTCTACGGACAATTCCTTGGACTTCATAGCTTGGTTTGTGCTCTGACCTGCACTGTTACCTGTGGGGACCTTCTATAGACAGGTTTATGCCTTTCCTAATCATGTCTAATCCACTGAACATCCCACAGGTGGACTCCAATCCGCTGAATGTCCCACAGGTGGACTCCAATCCACTGAATGTTCCACAGGTGGACTTCAATCCACTGATGTCCCACAGGTGGACTCCAATTCACTGAATGTCCCACAGGTGGACTCCAATCCACTGAATGTCCCACAGGTGGACTCCAATCCACTGAATGTCCCACAGGTGGACTCCAATCCACTGAATGTCCCACAGGTGGACTCCAATCCACTGAATGTAGCACAGGTGGACTCCAATCCACTGAATGTTGCACAGGTGGACTCCAATCCACTGTCGCACAGGTGGACTCCAATCCACTGAATGTCGCACAGGTGGACTCCAATCCACTGAATGCCCCACAGGTGGACTCCAATCCACTGAATGTCCCACAGGTGGACTCCAATCAACTGAATTTCCCACAGGTGGACTCCAATCCACTGAATGTCCCACAGGTGGACTCCAATTCACTGAATGTCCCACAGGTGGACTCCAATCCACTGAATGTCCCACAGGTGGACTCCAATCCACTGAATGTCCCACAGGTGGACTCCAATCCACTGAATGTCCCACAGGTGGACTCCAATCCACTGAATGTTGCACAGGTGGACTCCAATCCACTGTCGCACAGGAGGACTCCAATCCACTGAATGTCGCACAGGTGGACTCCAATCCACTGTCGCACAGGTGGACTCCAATCCACTGAATGTCCCACAGGTGGACTCCAATCCTCTGAATGTCCCACAGGTGGACTCCAATCCACTGAATGTCCCACAGGTGGACTCCAATCCACTGAATGTCCCACAGGTGGACTCCAATCCACTGAATGTTGCACAGGTGGACTCCAATCCACTGTCGCACAGGTGGACTCCAATCCACTGAATGTCGCACAGGTGGACTCCAATCCACTGTTGCATAGGTGGACTCCAATCCACTGAATGTCCCACAGGTGGACTCCAATCCACTGAATTTTCCACAGGTGGACTCCAATCAACTGAATTTCCCACAGCTGGACTCCAATCCACTGAATGTCCCACAGGTGGACTCCAATCCACTGAATGTCCCACAGGTGGACTCCAATTCACTGAATGTCCCACAGATGGACTCCAATCCACTGAATGTCCCACAGGTGGACTCCAATCCACTGAATGTCCCACAGGTGGACTCCAATCCACTGAATGTCCCATAGGTGGACTCCAATCCACTGAATGTCCCGCAGGTGGACTCCAATCAAGTTGTGGAAACATCTCAAGGATGATCAGTGGGAACAGGATGCACCAGAGCTCCATTTTGAGTGTCATGGCAAAGGCTGGGAATACTTATGTACATGGGGGTTTTTCGTTTTTTATTTTTAATAAATTGCAAAGATGTCCAAATGAACTTCTTTTGTGTTGTCATTATGGGGTATTGT